TAGAGGGGCAGGGGGAGCGGTGCACGGAGGCCTGCTCCGTGCCTCGGTTTCTCTCTCCGCAGAAAGCAGGTGCGGAATTGCACACACCTGAGGTCGCTGGACGCTTCACGGAGGGGAGACGCAGGGTCCGGGAGGATGTGGGGTTGGAGCCCCGCTGCTGGGGTCCCAGTGCCCACGGGTTAACCGGCCACCTCACACGGGGAGGATGACACTAGAGGGCCCGGCGCCCCCCACCCCGCTCGCTCCGGGAGCAGGGCACAGTCAGCGCTCGGTAACGAATGCCTGCGCATGGCGGGCAGCAGCGGCGGGAAGACCAGTGTGGTTATCAGCAGAACCGGGCATACAGTGGGCACCCAGCACATGCTCACTGGGAGGATAACCCGGACCATTCTGATACGGCCTGGCATACCATGTGCAAATGAATGCGTGTGGGACAAAGGAATCTGAGTAAGGATGGAAAAATCGGGATATTCAGAGGGAAAGACCAGGTTTAGGGAGATGTGGACTCCAAGCAATGGTGACATAAGGGATTTCTGACAACAGGCCCAGGCACTGCCCATCTCCGTCCCCGTGGTCCTTTGAAAATCAGCAGAAATCCTCTTTTGAGAAGCTGACCCAACTGCTCCAGGTCCTGGATATCAAAGGGAAGGAGTTGTAGCGGGAGGAGCCGGAGGAAGGGACGGGAACCTGGCCTGGGGGAGGAGGAAGACTTCCTGGAGGGGACATTCGAGTTGGGGCACTGATGTATAAGTAGGAGTTTGCCAGGCACAGAATGGGCTTGTGGGGAGAGAGACTAGTGTATGAAAATAACAGGAACAATCACTTTCATTTCTTGAGCACTTATATGCCAGACCTACACACAAGCCCGAGACCTACATACAGAGCCACAGCGGGGCAGATGAAGCCCTGCGGACGTTAAGCAATTGGTCCGAGTGCGTACAGAGACAGCTGCCTCGCTAACGTGCCTGGGTCTGACAGACTGAGAGGTGCACAAAGGTCTGAGGTGGGGCCAGCTCCAGCCCTTCTACTGGGCAGGTGAGGCCAGGCCTGCTTCCCCAGAGCCAGACGGGGGCTGCAGTCCATTCCTGTGCCGAAGGGCTTGGATACAGAAGGAGCCCCATTAACCTGGAAGCCCCCAGGAATCTGCTTTCTCCTCGTCTGCCAATGCCAAAGGAAAACTGGGGGGGCTCCCTCCCTCAAATGTCTCCCCAGTACCCCAGGAGGATGGTCTGCAGGCTGGCCAGATAAACCCTTGCAGCCCCTTCCCGGATGTCCAGAGATTCCTACTGACCCAGCCATTCCTACTGACCCAGCCATGTGCCCATTTCATGGATTTGGAAACTGAGGCACAATGAACACCTTGGAGCCAGGCCACCTGTTCTTGTTTCTTGGGTGTAAGAACCATGCGGCAAGACTGCTCGTGCCTTTCTTTGTCCCTGATGGGCTGTGTGACTCCAGGCCAGTCTCTGGCTCTCTCTGGGTCTTAGGTTCCCCAGCTGTTCCATGGGACTGAGACTGCAAAACGTCAGCCTGGGCACCTTTCTGAGCAGGAATTTGGTTCGGTACCGTAGGGGTTCTGTGGGTGTGGTCCCCATGTTACAGGAACAAAACGGGCTCAGAGAGGGGAAGTCAGTCACCCAGTGAGTATCGTGTGCTCCCATGCCAGGGAGCAGCCTCCTGCCTTATTGCTGCTAATCACTGAATTGGCACCTACTGTTTGCTGGATGAACAATGACAGACTCTCACTCCTACTCCACGGAGGGGGACAGGGTGGGGCAGCAGCTGGCCCAAGTCCACCTGGCAAGGCTGGGAATAAAAATGGGAAAACAGTGCCTGTGCAGGTGAGACACCCAGCTCAGGGCTGGGCAGCTGGCAGTTGCCCATCCGGCCTGCCCAGAGTCCCTCAGGCGGCCTGGGCACCACATCCCGACTTGCCCGCTAACAGTGTTCTGATTCCTGGAGTGTCCCTGGGTGTGTCTGGGGTGCCATGTCCTTGCTTTGCTGCTTCCTTTCTTGCATATTCCCAGGCCGGTGCTGCTACAGACGGAGGCGGGGGCCAGAGGCAGGAGGGCAGTGCCAGCCTCAGAAGGAGTTGCGTGAATCGAGTGACTAACTTGCATGTTCCCACTAGGGCCAGGCTGACAATCGCAGTGGATTCTCAGACCTCTGAAATCTGCCTCTGCCCGGCAGGCCCCCTGTCATCACTGGCCTGAATCAGGGCAGGGCCTCAGCCTGTCTCTGAACTGCCATCCTCGCCCCCTAGAGTCCACCCTTTCTACTGTGAGCCCCTGAGTTAGGTCAGTCCCTCGTCTGCCCAAGGCCTTCCAGGCACCCACTTCCCTCCAGGTAAGAGCCCCAGTCCTCCCCCGCCCCTTCACTTCTCTACCCTTGCATAACTTCCTCTGTCCCCCTCGCTCACTCTGCTCCAGCCACAGGGGCTTCCTCGATGTTCCTCCAATATGTCAAGATGGATTCTGCCCCAGGGCCTTTGCATGGGCTGTGCCCTCTGCCTGGAATGTCCTTCCCCTAGTTCTTCACACAACTGCTTCCTCCTCACCCCTCAACTCTCAGCTCAAATGTCAAATCCGCAGACAGACCTCCCCCAAATAGGCCCCCGCTCTGTCCCCTTGCCTTCCTTTATATTTCTCCGTAGCCCTTAGGAACTGGTATTAGTTCCTTATTCTTTATTTCTTGCTCTTTGTCCGTTTCCCACAACAGACTGTGCGCCCCATGAGGGCTCGGTTTTTGTCTGTGGAGTTCACGGCGGTGTCCCCAGGACCTAGAAAAGTGCTTGGCAAAGTAAGTGCTTAATAAATATTTATTGACAACAAAGTAGTGCTATTGGCTGAGCACTGAGCATGTGTGCGCAATGCTGTCCTAACCCCTCTGCGTGGTTTCACTCGTGTCTCCTTCAGCAGCCCCAGGAGGAAGGAGTATTTACAGATGGGGAAACTGAGGCCCAGAGAGGGATGCCACTTGCCTGAGGTCACATGGTGAGCCATTGGCAGGGGCAAGACCCCCACTCTGCCCCACTGCCTTTCTTCACTGGCATCTCCCATCGCCCAGATGGGGAAACATACTCAGGGAGAGGAGGGATTAACAGCATCAGAGCAAGAGTGGGCCAAGCCAGGACTTTGTGCTCAACTCCACCGACGCACTGCCCATGGGCAAAAATACTGTGACAATAAACAACATCAATGACAATAATAATAATGATGGCATTGATGAGCACAGAATTGGCCAGCGTTTATGCAGGGCCCTAAAAGGGAGACTCGGGGGACTCGGGTCCCTTTAAGAGCCTCCCCTTCCCCAGCTGGGCCCTGGCCCGCCTCCCTTTATGTAAGCAGGCCAGCTGCCCTTGCATAACCTGATTACATAAGAAAGCAGGGAACAGGCTTGTCCATCCGGCAGCAACCTGTCCCAGCAACCTGTCCCGGACTGTCTGTGGGGCTGGCCTAATGCGCAGGAGAGCCGTGGCCACCCAGAGTGGCCACTAGGTGCAGCTCAGCCCGGGGGATGCCCTGACCCCCAGACACAGCACCCTCTGGGCGGGAGAAGGTGAAAGGCTTCTAGTGTGTGCAAGTGGACAGGGCTAGTCCCATTACTCTGACGGTGAAACTGAGGCCCAGAGAAGGCACGTAAGCAGCATGGAGCTGCACAGCCCAGCGTGGAGGGTGGAGGTGGCAGAGTTGGGGTGAAATCGGCCGTGTAGCCTCAGCCCGAGCCTTACTCTCTCTAAAACAGGGCTGCAAATAGGGCCTTTCTCAGCAAGGCCTGGTGTGCCACAGGCCCTCAGTAGTGGAACCTTCAGCTGGCTGTGGGCCCTGCTCGAACACGGTTTTAATTCTGTCAGCTGGCTTCATCCTTGCTGGTTGAACTCATTCTACACTTGAGGAAACTGAGGCACGGGGGAAGGCGAAGTGAACGCCCCGTCCACGGGGCAGGCGAATGCTGCTCACAAGACGCCCAGGCAGCAGGTGCTGTATCATCGCACAATGCGTACGGGGAGAAATGCCGACTGTGTACCAAGTCCTGGCCCAGATACTATTCTGTCTGCCCCCAAAACCCTGAGGGTGGGCGCAAGGAGCGCCAGACACAGATGAGGAAACCCAGGCACAGAGGGGAGAAGGGATGCCCGAGGGCAAGCCCAAGCCCTGCCATGTGCGCCCCGTCTTCTCCCCTAGCAGGCTTCCCCTGCCTGGGGTCCACCCCTCTGACCACGGGAGGCTGCGGGTACCTGGGTATGGTGCCGTCCCTCCCCACCATGCACATTACTGCTTCCCTCTTTGGGAGGTGTGGGGCCGGTCCCTCTCCTCCCCCTTCTCTCTGGATGCTGGCCCTTTAAGGCAGCAGGCTGCCAGGGCTTGTCCTGGGGTGACCCCAAGGGGCGGGTGTGGTCAGGAACAAGGGGCCCATTCAGCTGCTGCTGCTGCCTCCGGGCAGCCCACAGGCTGGCCTGGGTGGGAGGCAGGGAGGAGACTGACAAAGGCAGGGAGAGACTGGGGGTGGGAAGAGCAGAGACAGAGAGACAGAGAGAAACAAAGAGACAGAGAGACCCAGAGACAGAAAGAGAGACAGACGGGAACAGCTGCCCAGGCTGCACCTCTGCCTCTCTGGTTCCCCCAGGTTGAGGGTCTGAGGCTCGCCCAACCCCTAGTTAGGCTTCAGCCCCCAAAGGTGTTCCTTGTCCAGCTGAGGTCTAGGCTCAAATGGGGACTCCGGGGCCATCAGGGGAGGCACCCCAAGCAGCCCCTTCCTGGGGGAATATTGTGGGCCGTCAGAGATGCCGGACCTGGGTTCGAATATTGACTGCCTTTTAGCTGTGCAATCTTGGGCCAGTGGCTTTGCCTCTCTGGGCCTCAATTTCCCCATCTGTTAAATGCAGTTAATGATGATCCCCACTGCGGTGGAATTAAGGTGAAATAAAACGGTGCACATAATTCCTGACATTTACTGAGGGTTTAACTAGGTAAGCCCTCAATATGCCTGCAGTTCCCCTGAAAGCGCCGCCAGCACCCAAAACACAGGCAGACAACCCCTGCCTCCTGCCAGATGTCACCATCTATTAGAGTTACTGCCTTCAACTAAGGACCTACTAAGCGCACACGGCCCCACAACAACCTCTGGAAACACAGCCAGGGTCCACGTCCCACATCCAGTGAACAACAGACATTTACTAGGGATTAAATAGTCTCCACTCTTGTTCCAGGTTCTCACAGTCACATATCCCCACCATCTGCTCCCAAACACCGCGAACCACACGGGGGCTCCCATCCAGCTGGCTGCCCCACGACCGCCTCAGCCAGAGACACTAAAACCCACCTCCTTCCCCCTCTGAAGGCATCTTTTCTGGAATATTCTGCTCAGTCACCAATGTCTGAGGACAGGCTTATTCAACTCTGACCTGAACTTTCTGGATCCCCGACTCTGAGAATTCTAGAACTTGCCCCCTGGATGTTCTAGAAACCAGCTCAAGACAATCCCAGAGTCCGACCTTGGGCGCACAAAAACTCAGCGTAAGGAATTGTGCAACCAGCCGTCAATGGTCCAGAACACACTTGAGGGTTTCGTGGATATTGGTAAGACCAATACTGGATTAGATCACTGGTGACGGGTCTGGGAGCTTTAGAATCGGTCCCCAGAGTCTCGAGAACCCTGCTTGGGAGATGTGAGAGCTGTTCCCAGCTGCTGT